CTTGGTTTCTAAACAATCTTCCCTACTAAAAGAAGCCAGGTCCCTTTGGAGAAATGGCTGATTTCGAGGCGGGGGAGAAAAGCGTAAGATGAACTTGGAATATTTTGTGTTAGAAAACAAAGAAGGGCTCCCCAAAGCGAAGCGGGCACTTTAAAAGGAACAGAAGCCGGCTGGAACTAGCTCCCACTGACCAAACTGGGATGTTGTGTATTTATTAAGATAAATAAGAAGGGAAAGGGGTGGAGCCTGGGGGATGCTGCGGACAGGGACTCTATTCTGTATCACAGTACAGGGGAGGGGACGCAGGCCTCAAGGATTTGGAAAATCCTTAAACCCTACAACACAAGAAATGACTCGAGTGTAAACTATGCACTTTAGTTAGTGATCATTTAACAAGAGAAGTTCATCTATCGTAGGCCCCAATGCAAGATGTTTACAAAAACTGAGAGGATTGCCAGCACCGTGGCTCACTAGGCTCATCCTCCGCCTGCAGCGCCGGTACCCCGGGTTCTAGTCCCGGTCGGGGCGCCGGATTCTGTCCCGGTTGCCCCTCTTCCAGGCCAGCTCTCTGCTGTGGCCCGGGAAGGCAGTGGAGGATGGCCCAAGTGCTTGGGCCCTGCGCCCCATGGGAGACCAGGAGAAGCACCTGGCTCCTGGCTTCGGATTGGCGCATCGCCGGCCGTAGTGGCCATTCAGGAGGTGAACCAATGGAAAGAAGACCTTTCTCTCTGTCTCTCTCTCTCTCACTGTCTAACTCTACCTGTCAAAAAACAAAACAAACAAACAAACAAAAAAACTGAGAGGATTGAGATGAGAGAGTATAAGAGAACTCTGTATTTCCTGTTCCCCTTTTCTATAAATAAAACTGCTGTGAAAATGAAGTCTCTTGTTTAAAAATGATTTTTAAATTATTTCTTTATTTATTCAAGAGGTAGAGTTACAGAGACAGGGAGAGACAGCGAAAAAGGTCTTCCATCCGCTGATTCCCAAATAGCCGCAGTAGCCAGAGCTGGGCTGATCTGAATCCAGGAGCCAGGAGCTTCTTCCAGGTCTCCCACGTGGGTGCAGGGGCCCAAGCACTTGGGCCATCTTCTACTGCCTTCCCAGGCCACAGCAGAGAGCTGGATCGGAAAAAGAGCAGCAACAACTAGTACTGGAGCCCGTATGGGATGCTGGTGACAAGGCAGAGGCTTAGCCTACTAGGCCACAGCGCCAATCCCTAAAAATGTTTTTAATAAATAAAGATACCAGTGAACTAAGACTGAGTCCATGTTGATAATAAAGGGAAAGAAAAGCTCCTTCTTACAAGGACAACTGATACTTGTAATGGGGGAGAAAAGGTTGAAAAGTTACCAACTTAAAACCATCACAGGGCTGGCGCCGCGGCTGGCGCCTGGTGTGGACCCAGCTTGTGCTTCCAGACTTCCTTCTCCCCTAAATAAAGCCCTCACTTTCCTGTGCATTCCTTTCACTGAATAACTGTTTTTTTAAAAAAATTACCATGTCACCTGGTTTATTTTAAGCTGATATTCAGAATTCTTCTCTGGATAGCAAGAACCCACCAAAATAATTAATATCTAAAAATTATTAATAAGGCCAGCTGATATCATTAGCAGGGAGCTGCTAGGACTTGAACTGGCACCTCATGGGATGCCAGCACTGTGGGCAGTGGCTTTTACGTCCTACACCACACTGCCAGCCCCTTTACTGAACATTTTGAGCCCACTGTTGAGAACTACTGCTTAGGAAAAAAAAAATCCTTTCAAAACACTACTACTGCCGGCGCCGCGGCTCAACAGGCTAATCCTCCGCCTAGCGGCGCCGGCACACCGGGTTCTAGTCCCGGTTGGGGCACCGGATTCTGTCCCGGTTGCCCCTCTTCCAGGCCAGCTCTCTGCTGTGGCCAGGGAGTGCAGTGGAGGATGGCCCAGTGCTTGGGCCCTGCACCCCATGGGA